ATTTATTTGAGAGAGTGAGAATGAGAGAGAGCACATGAGAGGGGGGAGGGTCAGAGGGAGAAGCAGGCTCCCCGCCGAGCAGGGAGCCCGACGCGGGACTCGATCCCGGGACTCCAGGATCATGACCTGAGCCGAAGGCAGTTGCTTAACCAACTGAGCCACCCAGGCGCCCTACCGTGCCCCTCCTTAATCTCAGTGCTGTCATCTGTAAAGTGGGGTCGGCAGAGGGATCCACCCTAAACCAGCTCCGAACCAGACAGCAATGGGGATGAGTCACGCAGACAGCATGTTGGGTAAAAGAAACCAGACACAAATGAGAACACATTGTGTGATTCGTGAACAGGAAATTCTAGAGCAGGCAAAGCTAGCAGGAGTTGGCTGGAGAGGAGGGGTCAGTGGGGGTGATGAAGTGTCCTGTGTGAGCCGGGCGATGGTCAGGTATACGGGCACCTAAACTCACAAGCATCGACCCTTAAGGTCTGCGCATACTACTGTGCGTAAATTATACGTCAGTGACCAAGAAGCACCTCCCCTCACCAGTCGAGAAGGAAGTACCCTAACCCTTCCTGCGCTGCTAAGGGAAGAGCTACTGGACCGGACAGCATCCGAGGACCGCAAACCGTGTCCCTCCGGTGACCGCAGCCTCGGAGGGCTGGTCCGTCTGCCGCAGGGAGAAACAAGGACACTTATGTGCCGATGTGGAAGGGCTCTCTCATGTCATGACAGTGAAAAGAGCAAGTTGCAGAACGGTGTATGGAGTTTGTGTTGTTAAAATACATACACGGAGAGAAAAATATACACTCACGTCCTCATGTGAGAGCACAGAGCCCGGGGACAGGCAAGAGGTAGATGTTCCACGCCATGCCTTTCACGCTTTCCAAATGTCGAATTAGAGGAATGCATCACCCAGTTCAAAATTACATACTTTTAAAGCTAACTAATGAAGAATTTTTAAGAGAAGTCACTATGGAGAGAGGCAGAGCGGGATGCTCGTCCCAGAAGGAGCTCTGAGGTACCACAGTTGGCGTCCAATCAGGCTGTCCCCACATCACCACCGCCTCCCACCAGTGTTGGCCCAGGGGCGCCTCCCCACCTGGACCTCTCCTCCCGAGGGGATGGGGTGCCCACCTGCCCCAAGGTGCACTCCATGCCTCCAAGGAAGTCATCGTCCTGACAGCCAAGACTGCTGGGTCCGTGCGTGTCATAGACCTCAAAGCGCAGCTTCTGTACCTCCTCAAAGTAGTAGTCAAGCGTGAAGACCTTGGAGAACACGGGGTGCAGGCTGCTCCTGACCACCTCAGTTCTGTCCACCTGCAAGCAGCCCAGGCTGAGAAGACCTCGCGGGAGAGCCGCGTCCACCCAGGCACTCCCTGGGTCCTGGGCCCCTGGCTCTGGCCTGCAGAGTCCCCTCACCTGCCCTCACGTGCTCCTGGAGGACTCGTGTCCAGGCCAGGCCCTGGGAAGACCCCCCACGCCCCCGCCCTCAGCCAAACCGCACTCCATTCCTCAGGATTTCAGCTGCTCCACGGCTGCCAGGGGCCCCAGGCACCTCCCTCCCTGAAAGAAAGGCCCCAGCCCTGGCCAGCCACAGGCCGCAGCTTCTCCGCAGCTTCTCATATCCTGCCCACCACAGCCCACTCTATCCCCATCACAGTTAGGGAAACTGAGGCTTGGAGAGGGAAAGGATCCTGTGCAAAAGCAGTCCAAGTCAGGAACACAGTTGGGTCAGAATCCTGGGCTGCGCAAACCCACAGTGGAGATCTCTCCCCAGCTGGGCAGGCAGGGAGACTGGGGCAGGGGGTACAGATCCCCCTGGGTTCAGCTCTCTCCTCCAGCTTAGGCACCCCTACACCCCTAAAGCACAATCCAGCCTGGGGAGGTAGGTTTGCCACCCTCCAGGGTACACAAACTCCCGCATCCTCAGACAGAGGGTCTGTGTGGGCCACCCGCCCCCCCCAGGGACAACTGCACCCATGCTCGGGCCAAGTGAGCCCTCCTCACAGATCTTCCCAATGTCCCCAGCACCACAAAGACACTGGGCTGCAGTGGCCCCTTCGCCTCCTAGGCCAATGACCCGCAGAAGCCTGGCGGTCAAGAGATGACAACAAACAGCACAAGGTCACACCGCATGGGGGAGCAGAGCTGGTCTGTGGAAGCTGGCCACTGGAGCCTCCAGGACTCTGTGCCCCTCACAGGTCGGGGCCCAGCTGTCTGCCTCCCCCACGCAGGCCCCCAGCGGTGAACACCAGGGTCTCCCCCTCACCCACCCTCTCCCACTGCCCCACCGCCCCGCCCAGGCCCCCCTGCACTGTCACCAGTCAGGGGGCGTGCTGGAGCCTGGGGAGGGATCCCTCAATTCCACTGGGCTTCAACCCCCAACCTCGCCTGCCCATGCCCGGTGTTTCTCCACCTTTCCAGGTGAAGCACACATCTCACAGGGGACAGTGACCGGGAGAGTGCTTTGCACAATGCAGAGCTATTGCCGCGACTGGCCCACGGGGAGGGCTGAGCCGGGGCTGACAAGGGGCAGCCAGCTGCCCAGGCACCCCAGCGACCCCCCAGGCCCGAGAGTATCAAAGGGAGAAACAGGTCCGTGGAGTGTACAAACCAGACCTCAGCTGTCCCAACCTGGCCACAAGTGCTGGGCTGACCCGGTCACCCCAGGGTTTCTGGAGACTCACGGTAGAGTCTGCCACAAGAGGAGAGCAGGCGACAGGCTGGGAGCCCCCCAGGTGGGTCAGAGACCAAATCTCTAGCTCACCAATGCCTCAGCCTCAGTCAGCCGTGCCCCCCAACCCCGCAGCCCTGCCTGGCCCTCCCTGCTCCCCCCTTCCAGGATCCGAGGTCTGGGTGCCTCTGCCTGATGGATGAGGACCTGGCAGAGCGGTGGCCCCCCCAGGCCAGGGGGGACCCATGAGCCCAGGTCAACCCTGCATCCCCCATTGGGCACACCACTCTCTCCCGCACCCCCCACTCTCTTCTGTGCCCCTTAGTCAAGCCCCCTGCCGGCACGCTCAAGCCGGGGTGCCTCACTCCGGCACCTAAAGCCCCACGTGGGACCCTGGTCGCACCCCCCATGCTGGTGCTACCCCCCATGCTGGTGCTCCCTCTCTCTACCTGGGGCTCCTCTCTGTGGCCTCCAGTCCGGCACCCCCCCAACTCGTGGGCGCGGATTCTCTCGACCTGGTAACCCCAGCCCTGACCCTGCCCTGCACGCTGCCCACCTCGGTCTCTGTGTCCCTGGCCCCAGGCCCCCGGTCCCCACTCAGCACCTGCACCGGGGTCGCGCCCGCCCCAGCGCCTACCTGCACCCACTGGCTCTGGGACTGCAGCCGCAGCACCACG